GATGTCCTGGTCTTCGCTCAAACCCGTTGGATGCCCGACAATCCTTGTTCCTGCATCGAAAGCAAGCGTGGTTTCCCTTGGATTCGATACGCCAGTTTGTGGCCTGCACACCATTCACAAGCATCAAGTCCTCCATCCTTCACCATGTCCAAGTCAATCAGAATTTTAAGCAATTCTTTGGGAGACGAGGTCAAATTGCTTGTCTGCCTCGTTTCCGCTGCGGACTTCCTGGCGAGAATCAGTGTAGGGACGTCTTTTTGGACTCAAACATGTCTTGCAAGGCTGCAGCAGCAGGTCTCTTCTCTTCATGGGTTTTGCTCTGGAGAAGGAAGCTGGCTCCGTCCGATCATCTTCCTCATTCCGAGCTCCAGATTGCCGTGACTTCGGAATTCGGGATCTAGTTCTGCGATCACGACCTGCTGGATTCCATCTGAACTTGCCCTCCAGCTTCCCAACGAGCAGCCATGCTGTCATCGCTGCGCCATTGCAGTTTGAAAATGTTTCGATCCAAGAAGAAAACTGCAGACTAATGACTGTCGGATTTTGTTCATTGCTGGCTTTTCTCAACCGTTTTTGGCTCCCAGGGTCTTGTCTCTCGAATGGTGTGTGTCATGGTCGCAATTCCAACTTGGAACCAGTAATTTGGTTTCTCAACCGTTTTTGGCTCCAAGTGGTTCTTGTCTCTCGAATTGGTGTGTGCGATGGAACCAACCTTCAAACTTGGAACCAGTGCTTTACTTGTCCGTTTTGGGCTCCAAGTGATTCTTGTCTTTCGAATTGGTGTGTGTGATGGAACCATCGCAACCTTCCAACTTGGAACCAGTAATTTGGCTTTTCTCTCCGTTTTGGGCTCCAAGTGGTTCTTATCATCTCTCGAATTAGTGTGTGTGATAGGACCATCATCACCTTCCCACATGGAACCAGCTGGACTTGCCACAAGCTGGCGTGGACTATGCCGTCTAAGATTGGCGACGTCACAGTAGAAGCTTCAGCCATCTCACCAAGTGTTTCTCTCGGACCAATACTTGAGGTTTGCCGTGCATTTTTTTCGCGTGGTTGTGCAAAGCTGTTTCCAGACCATTTTTTTTTCCGCGACGGTTTGTAATTCTTTTTGTGGCTTTGCTTTCTTTTTAGATTTGTTGGTTTCTTTGTCAGTTTGGTTTGAGTTTTTGTTTTGAACAGCTGTCCAAGAAAACCTCTGTGTTTTTCTTTCTTGTAGATTTGTTGGCTCTTTGAGATTTGGTTTGGAAACAGTCTTGGTTTATGAGAGTGCGACACACGGAGTGGCAGCTAGGATGTCCGTCAGCTCGGCTCACCGGCAGGATACGAGTGTGTCCGCCGTCTGCACCAGGAACTTAGCGTTGGATCTAGGATCGAGGCAAGCACGCTTC